CCACTGCTTTTCTGTCCTGAGGGGAAAAAGATGCAGTCCAGGCCACCCCAAAGACAACCTTCTCACGCTTCTGACTCCACGTAGGTGGAGGGACTCAGATCAAAGACTCTCCATGCTAAGAAACCTGAACAGAAGGAGTCAAAGCTGTCCTCCTCCCATCAGTATGAAAGTCCATTCTGTGTTCTCTCCTCCACCCCTAAGAGACACAAGTCATGAGTGAAGAAACTGGGTCTTCATGTTGGTCTCCACGGAACCCAGCACAAGACTGTATACCCAGTCAATACTTCAGAAATGGTTTAGAATGACTTTCCCTGTGGCTGCCTGGCATGCCACAGACCTCTCTGAGCCTCTGATAAGTATATTAAGTATATCAAGAATAAGGATAGCAGGGGCAGGGCCTGCAAAATTCACTGATCCATCCCTTTGCCATCAAGCAGGGCTCTAAGGGCAGATCTCCATATGACTCTATTAGTTTTTAATGTGTTATTTATTTTTAAAGGCTACTTATTTTAAAAATTATTTTAAATATCTAATATACAACTGTATAATGGGTAAATAAACTGTGGTATATTCACACAATGGAACATTCCACAGCAATGAGAATGCACAAACCACAGTGATGTGCAACAAGGTTGAATCTTACAAACATATTGAGAGTAGAAGAAGCCAGAAACAAAGAGCATGTATTGTATAATTCCATTTATATAAAGTACAGAAATAGGTAAAACTTATCTAAGAGGTTAGAAATTAAGGTAGTGGTTACTCTTAGTGGGGTGGGTAGCGACTGGTAGTGATCTGGAGAGGGTCTTCTAGATGTGGTAATGATGTGTTCTTGATTTGGGTGCTGAGACGTGGGTATATTCAATTGGTGCACATTTCTGTATATGTGTTTATTGCAATACAAAGCTAATGAGTTTATATACTAGATAGATGTAAGGTACAAAAAAATAAAACTAGTACATCTATTAAGAAACAGAATATTATTAGTCTACAGCCATGTTACCCTGAACAGTCCCTATCCCATCTGATCTCGAAAGCTAAGCAGGGTCAGGCCTGGTTAGTACTTGGATGGGAGACCACTTAGGAAGACTGGGTGCTGTAGGCGAGAGAAAAAAGAAAATAAACGGAATATTACCATTTCAGCTAAAGATCCTCTATGCTGTGTAACACTTTTTTTAAATTTGCTTTTTATCTTTCACTTACTTGGTCATTAAATTTTACGTGTTTTTGAATTTTATACAGTGGTGTCAACATTGTATGTAATCTTTTGTGGCTTTCTTTTTTTTTCACGCAACAATATGGTTTTGAGATTTTCTCGCTAAAGAGCAATGATTCGTCCATTTTTTTAACCAGTATTTCACACATCTTAACAATACACAGTCTTTCTATCCATGATCATGGCGTAGCTGCCCTTTTATTCAAGCCTTTTTTACCTATCTTTCAAAAACTTTATATAATTTTCTTCATAAAATCTTGCATTTCTTTGACTAGATGTATTTATCTTTTTTGTTGCTTTTGTCAAGTGCTCCTAATCTAACCCCTCGTTCCCAGTGTCGCTCCAGTGACTGCCAATATTAAGGGATAGAAAAAAGTGACTGAACTATGCTTGATAATTTTCTAACTCTCCGCGTTCTAAACGCCTTCAATTAATTTCTGACCATTGCTGCATCCGTAGGTCCAACTGCACGAAATTTTTCTCAAGAAGCGCTGAAAATATCTCGACAAGGCACGAGGCGGAGCCAGTACGTGCTGACGCCAAGAGCTCGCCGCAACTAGAGGCCGGAGAGGGCGGGGCCAGCAGGGGGTCCTGCTGCTGGAAGAGCCGCGGCCCGAGGTGGGGCCATGGCGAAGCTGTTGAGCTGCGTCCTCGGTCCCCGGCTTTACAAAATCTACCGAGAAAGAGATTCTGAAAGGGCCCCATCCGGTGTCCCGGAGACTCCAACTTCAGTCACTAACCCCTCTTCCAGCTCCTGGGTGAGTCGAGTTCTCCCCTATTCAGAAATATGGTACGGCCCAAACCCCTTCGCGGCCTTTGCTCCCTAGAAGCTCCCATTATTGGAAATCGGGGGAGCTTCCTTGTCAATTCAGCTGTGCGCAAGATCTACGCTCTTTGTGCTTCCTGGGTTAGAGTACGCCTGTGGACTGGCCACCTCCTTTAGCTGTTTGCTACTGCTTTCTCATTCCTACTGCCACTCCTTGCTTTTTCAAATCTGGCGGTCCCCCACCCTATCTGTAGTGGTTCATCCCGGCCCCTAGTGACTCTTAAGTCCTGGAAGAGACCCTGTGTGGATTCGGGAGCTGCATAGATTAGCCATCGAACTCGATTTCTTCTCACTCAGTGTCCCTTGGTGCCTGCCTCTCCGGCTCCGTTTAATCTTCCCTCTAATACATTTTGACTTTCAACATGACTTCAACATATCACCTGTCCGCTGCTCTTCACCTCACCCCCCAACCTACCCTGGAGACCCCAGGGTCATTGCACTCATGAAGGCTGGGGGTTGTGGTAGGCTGTGTCCTTAAATTCTCTTTGATTTTATCGGTAGTCTCGAGTTGTGTTTCCGGTCTCCTACAAACTGCCCATCCCCAGCCACATCCTTTTCCTTAATGAACCTCTCTTAATCTCTGATGTTCTCCTTTCCCTCTTGAAGTTGTCATGGTGTCTTTCCTTTCTTGCCTAACCCCTCACTCCCCATTTGAAACTGGGTCGTGAAAAAGGAGCAAAAGTCGTCCAATGCTGCTTTCACTTTTGCTTCCAAGTCCAGCCCCCTGTGTTTGTCCTTAAGGTCTGGGGTGGGAAATCAGGTTAAGAGTTGGGGTGGGAAAGAGGGGCTTCTTTGGGAGCCAGGCATGTCCCAGGAGACACAGCTTTGGAGGCTAGAATCAGAGGGCACGCATCAGGGCTTCCAAAAGGGAAGGGGAAGAACTTGTCAATGGGCAGGGTCCTTAACCCGGGCATCTGTTTTGGCAGGATACGTACTATCAGCCCCGGGCCCTGGAGAAACATGCCGATAGCATCCTGGCACTGGTATGTCTGCCCTGGCATCTGAGACTACTGCATCTTTTCAGTCCCAGCTGCCTCCTGAACTTTCTCCTCCCCAGCCTGGGAAAAGGCAGCTCCCCTGGGGGTGGGGGATGCTCTTGGCTTTGCAGCAGACCTCTCCAATACACACACAGAGACATGCTATCAAGCACATGCATACTTGGCACTCCCCTTTGGCATGTTCCCTACTTTCTCTGGGGCAACCTGAGCCATGAGGAAAATGTGTTTACTCTTGGGACCATCTGCAGGTGCTGAGTTCTGCAGCCCCTGGTGATTTGCCCTCCCTGGCAACTAACCTCTTTGATTGTAGAGATAGTTGTTCTTCCTGGCAGGATTCCTATGGTGACGTTTATGCATCTCTTGGGGACCAGGCCAGGGGCTGTCCTGTGCAGGGTCAATTGAAAAGGCTTGGCTTACTTGAGTAGAGAGACTGGCCTTTAAATGCGATGAATTATGTCCAGGGATGATAAGAGGAAGAAAATAGAACCTGTACCTAGTTTTACCAGCCTATATTATGCTATGACACATTGCCTTTCAACAAATATTGAGCACCTACTGTGTGCATGATGTCATACACAGAGTAGGTACTTCATATAACTCTCAGGTTATCCACTTTGTTCAGAGCCTAGGCCTAGAAATGGCAGGGGTGTGTGTGTGTACTGATTGCTTGTCCCTGTCTCTCTGCTGCAGGCTTCAGTGTTCTGGTCAATCTCTTATTATTCCTCTCCCTTCGCCTTCTTCTACTTATACAGGAAAGGTCAGTGTGGTTTCAAAGGTGGTGGGACAGGAAATGCAGGTTGTTGGCAGATGAGCCAACCCCCTAAAGAGGAAAGGGGACCTGCAAGGGTGGCTTGGTTTCCCTCTTCCATCAGGCATCTTATTCCTCAGAGGGCATGGCTGTCCCGTTGGGAGGGTGTGGGGTGGAGGTTGGAGCGGGACTGGGAAGAGGAGCTGAGGTGCTGTGAAGAAAGCTCCTCACGTCTTCTCTCCCTTCCCAGGTTACTTGAGTCTGTCCAAAGTGGTGCCATTTTCTCACTATGCTGGGACATTGCTACTACTGCTGGCAGGTGTGGCCTGCCTCCGAGGTAGGTGGAAAGGGAGCCTGGTTTGGGTCTGTTCATTTAATATTCATTAGGTAAATATTTATTAAGTAGCTTCAGCAATTTTGTCTTGGGCCCTACGGGGGAAGAACTGAAAATGGTCAAGGCATGATCTTTTTCTTAAAGGTCTTAAGTCATAAATACGAAAAAGTAATTAGCAGAAAAGTTTGCTATTATTTAGAAAAATTGCATATATTCTACAACAATTCCACATATATCCATATATATTGTTTGTAATAATGCTAAACTGGAAACAACTCAACAGCCACAAATAGTAGGATGGGTAAATACATTAAGGGATATAGTCCTGTAATAGAACATTTTAACACGGTGTAAATGAACAAACTTGAGTTACACTCGGCAATGCAGATGAATCTCACTAATGTAATGTTGAATGAAAGAAGCTGACTGCAAAGTAATTTATACAGTGTGTTTCCATTTATATAAAGTTTAAAAGGGAGGCGTATATAAGTGGCAAACACTAAAAACCATGGGCATGGTTATCTTGAAAGTCAGGAGAGTGATTACCTGGGAGGGGGAGGGGAGAGGATGGGGAGGACTTCTGGTGGGAGATGGCTTTGTTCTCTTTCTTGACCTGGATAATGGTCACGTGAATGTTGCTTTGCATTTTTTAAACTGAATGTATGTTTTATGTATTTACGTTATATCTCACAATG